TGTATTAGATTGAAGTTATAAATTTCACTATATTTGCATTTGTAGAGCTTATGTCTAACAATATTGGTTCACGGTCGTAAAAGCAGGAGAGATATTCTATGAATGAAATGCAGAATTTGCATAATGTTATCCTATTTGTAAAGTCAATGTAATTTTGACGTACACGGAATGCAAAAGCGGAACCTATGGCGGAGATGGTAACTCTAGATCTACTTGTGGGCACTGTGCAAATAATGCAGCACGTGATCACGTGAGTGACGCCTGTCCTTTGAAAGGGAACAGTAACTTTAACCATTTTAAGTAATTCTAATGGTAACAAATTGTTTATTTTACATAAATCTATAGGACTCCATTGCTCTCCAACTTAGAATTTTGCTTTAAAATTTTGTTAGTTTGTTTATTGTTAAAGGTTCTATCTGGACTTTTTTCACTCGTCTGGAGACGCCACCACTTGCCATGGAGAGCTGCAAATTTTGTCCTATACTCTTTTGTTATGACCATTGAGTAGCGTGGTTTCTTTATCATGCCAACGTCCACTGAGACAAAGAACTTCGGCTTATACGATCTAATTCCAAGAACAAGTTTCCACGCCCAACAGTTACATTCGAAGCCACAATATGAGGATTATATCTTTAAATCTCACTCTAAAACATGCAGGCGCACTAAAGTCCACGCCGCGCAAGCGATTTCTAAAAGAGGTGATGAGAGTATACTAAATCATATTTTAATGTCTTATCAAGTATCATGTTAATTTATATTCCTGATCTCCCTGCTCAATGGCCGTGCGTGCCGAGTATAGGTCTACATTTGAAGCCTTTCAACACAATAAGGTGTCGTATCTATATGAGTGAACAATTCTCGAATGGGACGTTTAACAATAAATAATCAATCAATCTTTAAGGACGAAGGCTAGCATTTCTATCAAAGGCGTTGAACAACTGATTTTTTTTCCTTTTATCTATTTTGGCCTGCAAAAATGGTTGGTACGGCAGAGAATGTAAACACCGTTGTGGTTACTGTAGAGTTAACAGACCATGCCACCACGTGACCGGATCCTGTTCAGGGATATCTTGGAGATTATAGAAATCAAAAGCAAGTTCTTTCAACCTCTTGCAATACAGAGGATAATACTCAACTCTGTTAGAGAACTGCTCTTTTTTTAAATAACGAAAAGTTGGACTGATTGCAAACATCACGTCCCCGACTGACCTCAAGTAAAAGAAATGGTCTTCGAAAGATTCAAATCAAATAAGTGAGTCAAAGAATTATGTGTTAATATTGCATTAATTTGAACATACTAATGTAATCGTTTGTAAAAAAAAAATATACTCCATTTGTACCACTGTTCCATAGGTGATGGTTTTTTTTCTTAACTCACTTGACCTATCGTAATTTTAATCTTATAATATAACAATATTTTTTTTCTAAGAGTGTTTCCTGTTTAGATTAATTTTTATATTATAAATATTGTTTTCTATACTGAACCTCTAGTATCTTTTGATTCTTAACAAATTTTTTAGACATTCTTGTTTTGCCTTTTCCTAGCATTGTACTAATGTCATGTATGTTTAATAAGCATAAAATAAAAAGATAAGTTTATAAATGACAATTGGTGTTTATTTCGGCTTAAATTCTTTAAATAAAGCTTATGTGCCTCTTGAAATGCAACTCATGCAAAGCAAGCTGTGTTTTAAACAATAAAATGCTTTCTTTGTTTGTTGTTACTGGAATGAACGGAAGCAGCTGTTGCAGAAAAAATACATAACCCGCGTAAGCGGGTTATGTAATTTTTTTCTACAATAGCTGCGACCGTTCATTCCAGTAACAACAAACAAAGAAAGACATTTTATTGTTTATATTTATATCTGTTTAAATTATCATTTTAAGTAGGATTAAAAATATTAATTATTGTGTTATTGATTCGAACGTCTTTGTACGTTTCATTGATGGAACGGCCACTGATCAAGAAATCTGTACAGGTGATATGCCTAATGTAGTTCATGCAGGGATGAACGCAATGGGTTTTCTTACGAAATAAAGAAGAAAATATTCAATGGATGTAAATATTTTCCAATAAAGGAAAGTGACTATTAACAGTTACATGAGGACACTTATATTCTTTTTGAGTTTCAAAGCCAAGCGTTTTGATGTTAAATGATCACTATTAATGTGTGCAGAATATTTTCCATACCCTAAAACATCATTTAAATTTAGACGAAAACGTGTGAATTCGATATCAAATACTCGTACCCAGATGATTGAAACATATGGAGTAACGAAGAGGATTTAATATATTAAAAATCCATACAAAAATACAGAAAAGTGCAGAGCAAACACTGACCTCCGAAACATCAGAATTGGAATCAGGTGCCATGAAGGAGTGAACATCCTCTGCCGCCCGGTTACACTCACCCTGTGCTCCTTGACATGATTTGGAAAAACGGAAATATCTATCGACAATTCGGTGTATCAAAAAAGGAAGTTGCAGTATGAAAAACGTCAGTCAGCATTTGACACAATGATAAATTGTAGTTGCCTACAAGGTAATTGTACCCACAATAGAACATATAAAATGATTATTTTCATTGAGACTGCTGATATTCTTGTTTCATCAACTTCTTTGTCAATAATTTATATTTTAAAAAAAATCAACATTATAAGCCAAAGCTTATGAAATGACTGGTGAGCATTACGAATTATTTCACTTGTTATTCTTAAAATATTGTTCAAGTGTGTGATCGTTCGAATTAAGTTAGTTCTTCTGATTAAGATATAAGGTTTATTATTTAAAACTTTATTGGGGTGAAAATACGGATTGGGCATGCGATCAGGTAAAAAAAAAAGCTTGAAAAGCTTTATGATAGATTTAATTCAATGTCATCCCTTCTTAGCAGCCGAATTACATTTTAAAATAATATCGAATTTTATCTATATTTGAGACTGATTTACAATTTATTTGACGTCCATACGTTTTTAGCATACAAAATGATTAAATTTATTTTTTTTTCAAACCTCAACAGTACAAATTGAGTGTGTTGAACACGTCTACTAGTTATGACGTAAATGGAAAATTATATCAATTATTTTTGATCAAACAAAAATTTAGAGGACATAATTTGCACATAATAAAACACAACTTACTAAAAAAAATGACTCAATTAAAAATAAGTATTCAAAAATAAAAGGCTCGCACGTAAAATATGAGAAAAGGTCTTTTGATGATAATTTTTGATTACTCAAAGCATCAATATATCCCATTGTTTGTTGGTTTCTATATACAATATTGTCCTTTGTGGGAAAGAAAATATTAAATTGTATGAACAATTTGAGCATACTTTTATATTGATGAATAAGAAAATTAATTCCAAAAAGATATCTTACTTAATTCATGGAAGCCTTGAGTTTCAGTAGTTATTGACTTATAATGCCATCTTCCGAAGATTGGAGGGCATTTTCCTTTGCTGCTGTCTGTCGGTTGGTCTGTTGGTCTGTCTGTCCACTTAGTTTCCATTCATTTTCTTCAAAACTGTTGCATATGCTGAAATGAAAATTGGTATACAGGTATATCCGATGAATATAGGTCAAGTTCTGTTTAGGGTACAATCGTACCATTTCTGACAGAGTTATGTCCCTTGGAATTGGAAAAAACCCAATTATTTGCAGTTTCCGTTCATTTTCTTTGCAGAGGTTGCGCATACAGATTTATCAGATAAATATCTAGGTCAACTTATATTTGAGTACGATTGCACCAATTTTGACAGAGTTATGTCCTTTTGGACATAGAAATTTTGGGTAAGTTTTTTCCGAACATCTTTTGTTTTGTTTTCTTTTTTTGTCTTCATATAAAATTTAGAAACAAAACGATAATGCAACTATGACTATGCATCTTAATATATATTGTACACAGGAAAAAAATACTTGTCTTATCTACATTTTGTGAAAACTCCATAGGTGCCCCTGGAAACACTACTTGACATTCCATTACTGAATAACCGGACTCATTAAGCTGTTTATTTTTGTAAAAGTACAGCTTTCCAAACCAATGTGCTATAAATGCCATTTCGTTAGATTTAACGTTAAAGTATTTTTTATTGTTTATTTCGAAAAAAAATGGATGTTGATACATGGATCTGTTTCTCAGGTCTTTTATTTCTCTGGATAATGAGTATCCCATTAGCGAATTGCTATGGTAGGACACTTTTTCATATTATTTATGGTCTTCCAACTTCCTTCGGAGGACAATATTGTTTTACATCTGTTTTCTATCATTATTACTTTTCTTTTTTTTTAAATAGTATCTCTATTTTTCAAAATTCACTTCCGTATGCAATTTTCGAGGAAATTTGTGTTTTTTAAATATTTTTTTAATGACTTTTCCTCTAGATTTTTTTTTCGAGAACGGATAAACATATAAACGAGAAACTCACTGAAGTATTAGAGCATCTAATGGAGATGTTTGGATCGTCCTTCATTTTCCTTACATCTGGTCGCAAGTGATTTCAAGTAGTCCAAAATTTTAAAGTTTTTGTTTTTCAATATTTTTCTTTGGGATTTATAGAATTATTAAAATTTCTTCTTAGAAATCGAAATACCCCCCCCCCCTCTTCATGCGTGCATTTATTGCAAAGATTTGACCGAATTAAATTTGTTCCACTGTCGAGGGTTCAAATCCCGCTGTGGGCATATCAAACGTTTTTTCCTTGTTTCTTTTTTTTATTTGCAAATGAGTTTTCATTTTTCAAAAACATTTATGGAAGATTTTGCCAATTTTTGCTAAAGAATTTAACGAGGTATTCTGTGGTAAATGTTTATTATTTATGAAGATTGTTTATAGAATGGAGTATGTGAACATAAAAAAAACATAATAAGATGTAATCTACATGTATTCAATGGAATGGAGTAGGATAGGTCTGTCGGAAGACCCCTTGTTCCTGCTCTAGCAAAAAGAACGTTTCATGTTATACATGTAGCTGTTTTATATCTATTTATTTTTCACATAGAGCAGCTTATAAATACCAGGACAACGAATGTTTCAAGTAGTTCAGTACATAGATACTTTAATGGCAGAGGGACAGCAGACTTAACGATAGACGGAAATTTCAACCAATATATCAACTACTGCATGCACACAGCCCTAGATTGGTCGGAGGCTTGGTTAATTGTAGACCTCGGAGATATCTACAATGTGAAAAGCGTTAAAATATGGTACAGAGATGATAGTGAGTTGATTTTTCCTGTGTGTTTCTCATATGCTAACGATGGATCATTTTTTTAAATATATTTTTGTGTTTTAACATTACACATGACTTTAATATTGACAAGTACATATTATGAGTTGTACCGTATATTAATTTGTTTGAAATGTTGAAATTATAATTAATAAATTTCTGTCAGAATATTTATGGTGATTTTTCAAAAGAAAATAATTTTTAAGTCTGTGATATTCTTTGTAACATTGAGTACGTAATTTATAAGTGTTTTTTTTAGCTGGATCGGATCGTGCTTACAGACTTAGAGGATTTTCCATACTCGCCTCTCAAAATCCTGAATTTAATGAAAACGACACATGTTATCAAGATCCAGGGCATGTTGCACCCGAAACAATACTTGAGGTGAATTGTGATCGGACAGCTCGATATATAAAGATATACACTAACAGGATAACATTTTCATCTCAGTATGGTGCCGTTCTGGAGATCTGCGAAATAAGAATTTTCGGTATGCATGCCTTTGAATTGCAAATTTAACAAAGAGAATTTCAGTTAACTATCGAGGGCACGATTTTTGACTTTGGAAATGTAAATTCAGAGAGAGAGAGAGAGAGAGAGAGAGAGAGAGAGAGAGAGAGAGAGAGAGAGAGAGAGAGAGAGAGAGAGAGAGAGATGCATATATACAAATGTCAATTGTTTAGTACATCAGGATTTATTATTTGGTGTATTTAGTAAAATCAAATATCCTCTGTTTTCCTCAAATGCTTTAGAGAACGTTACTTCTTTTAATACGAGAATATGCTTGATATACTTACATACCTTTATTTTCGTTTTTGTTTCCTTTCGTTTTTCATTTTTGTTTACACATGGTCTATGAGTCATCCAATTTAAAAAAAATATTTTTTTTTTTAATTTTAGTTTTGACCTAAAAAGTCTTTAAAGTAATTCCACCCTTCTATGATATGTAATTATTTAAATTCATCAAATATGTCTTGGAAGAATTAGAATAGGTGTAATGATAAATATTGTTAAGTTAAAGAATTAAAAAAAAATGCATATTTTCTATATTTAAAGCAATATGAGCTGCATTTTTTTAAAATTTAATTTTGCTGGTAAAATATGCTATTATGATTCATTTGTATGTTATTTAAACCCTTATGACCAAAAAGCCCAAAATAAAGTTTTGTTTCATATTTCTGTATGTTTTTTATATAAGAAATTATTATTGTACAGGACGAAAATAACTCAATTTTACTTCAATCAAAGCTAGTAAAAAATTTTCCATTGCAAATATGAACAACAGAAGTTTATTAATATTTTGTTTTACTGTCATTGAAATAGTTAATTACAAATTTGCAACAAAATTTTCAAATGCAAAACATGCAGCTTATATTGCTTTAATCAACTATTCAATCTTTAAAAAATGTTGACAAGGGCAATAACTTCCTCTAAGGTCTCTTCATTCAGGCATTTGCTTTATTGTAAAATATATACCATTTATTTTGAAACGCATATACATAATAAATTTTCTGAGCTGCATTTAGAATTTTTGCAGTTTAACCAGTTTTTACCTATTGTTTAGAATTTTACAAAAAATGAAAATAAAATCATTGAATAATAGTGGATTTACATTTTTTGCAATAATTGGAAAGTTAAAAGCATATTAAATAAAAATAAATGATATTTATAGTACTTTCATCTCTGCTTGATTTCACCTTAACTGATTTTTATCTCCTTTTTTATATTGATGCTTTCAAAATGTTACATTTTTTAGCTATTCGGGAAGTCAAATTTATCCCATAGGTTTTGAAACGCATATAGTTTACATAATTAATTTTCTGAGCAAAAAATTTTTGTTTTTTCGAAATTTAAAGTTAAATCATTGAACATTACCATTTTCTCTGCTTGTTTCACTATACATTTGTGTTTGAAATGGTAATGAAAAACCAAATATGTTCGAATGTATACAAACAATACGTTTATCCTAAAAAATTATATCTTAAGTATTAATTATTGCAGGTTGTCCGCGTTGGAAATACGGAGAACGGTGTGAATCCTGCGGAAATTGCAAATTGGATTGTCATGCAACTGGACAATGTGATCGATATGGTTGTATACATGATGGATACAATTTGCCATACTGCAAAGGTAAATTAAATATATAAACATGTGTTTGTTTTGAATAAAATGCAAATAAGAAATAAAATGAATAAGGAAAAAAAAAAACAAACACACAAACAATATTGATAATGATAAATAAAATACTGAAAACAAATATTGATACAAAAACTTTAACAGGTCTATAGATTCAAATCTTTTAATCGAAGAAAAAACTTGTAAATAACAAAAGTCTATGCCACAGTCATAACAATTCATTGGAATTGTATATGCTCTTTCCCATTAAGTCTACTGTATTAATTTATGCTCTAATACAACCGTATATTTTAAATAGATTGTTGTTTATACTGTGTAATTGTAATATTCCAAAAGCAGCTCTGTTATATTCTGAATCCAATGAAGCACAAAGGGCTTGTAAATTACCTTCTTCCCTCAAGAGGGTTTGCTGAAATAGCCTATTAAGATAGGGCTATTTAACTTTTATTGGCACGATTCGGCTGTTGTACAAATGCACGGGCTTGTGAGTGTGCAAAAAGTTTACATTATCGCTATGTTTGAAATAGGTTCAATATATCCTTCATTTTTTTTTATTTTATGACATTTTCTATTGAATTATATTAATTATTTTCATCAGAAAATTTTGTATTGAATTAGTGTAATCAACAATCAAATGCTCTTAGCTTTCGTCAATGTAGATTGTCAGTCGTCAGTCATCCTTTATATCTTGCACAGAATGCAAAAGTGGGAGATACGGCAAAGACTGTAACTCTTCATGTGGACATTGTGCCAATAATGCAAAATGTAACAATATAACCGGATCGTGTCCTAATAAAGAGTGTGCACCAGGATGGAAATATACAACAGACTGGAAATGTGATAAAGGCTAGCCATTTTTAATATTTCTCCTATCATTATTTGTAATATGAAAAAAAAAATTATTTAGATTTTGAATGTTCAAAACAATGACAGACTTTCTACGCATGAATTTTTACATTTCTCATTGAAATATTAAAATAATGTACACACGTACTTCACGATGAAAATTAAAAAAGAAAATTAATAGATACATTTTTTTTTCAACAATTCACAAGAATAATATTCCAAATTGCATGTATTTGTGTACAAAAAAATGCCTTTCATTAATTATTTAAAATTTGATTACAATGCTCTGAAAATAAACATTACGTATTTCTAGAATGCAAGAAGGGTTTCTACGGTAGGAATTGTAGTCTTCCATGTGGACATTGTGGAAACAAAACAACATGTGATCACGTGACAGGTTTTTGTCCTTCCGGTTTCTGTGATCCAGGTTGGATACATTCTAGCGATCGAAGATGCAATCAAGGTATATGCTTTTCACTTTTGCGTAAAACAGTATGCCTATTTTTCAAAGATCTTTAAATATATGAATAAATTTTATATCATACATATCTGCCGATAAAGCCATTGATCAGCAATAAAATTTGTTTAATGATGACTTTCAACTGTTTTCGATAATTTTTTAACATGAATTTTCTCCTTCAGAGATTACATTTTGTAATTGTTTGTAGAATATGCTTTTTTGTATCAAATCAGTATCAAAATAATTCAATATACACGCAATAATGATTTCTTAGGATTTTTAAAGGTTTCGGGTTAATATATGCTCCAAATTGAAATCTTTTTAAAGTAATTTATTTAAAAATAATATTTTAAAATGAAATATTGACCTTTTCCAATTTTAAAATCTGATGACGTTACGAATGGAATGTTAGCCTAGAAGCGTATCTATAACAAATTAAAAAATAATCACACGAAAATCATACAGACATATGTAGCATAAAAAAGTTATTTTTTAGTAGTATTAAAATAATTTATTTTTTCATGGACCTCTAAAAATATATTTAGTTTCATATAATATACAGTAATGAATACCTAATTGTTTGTTTCGCTATGGATTGACTATATATAAAAGACTTTTTCATAAATAAAAAAAATAATTCTTGAGAACTACATGTAATGGTTTATATTGAAAAACATCATAACAATTTCTCTTTAAAAAATCACTTTTTTTATTAAATCAACCCATGTAACATTTGCAGAAAATGAAAGACAACAGTTGGAAACATGCACTAAAATATTTTAAATCATTTCTTTAAACAAAACTCTTACTTCACTAACTTCATGGAATAATTTTGATTCTGTTTTAAAATGCATTCGTAATCTACATTAACTGCAGCATGTGAAGAGGGGGCATATGGTAAGAATTGTATTTCTACCTGTGGACATTGCGCCAATAAAGCAACCTGTCACCCCGTAAATGGTTCTTGTCCTGATGGGAACTGTGCACCAGGGTGGAAGCGCAGCAAAGACAGGAAATGTAACGAAGGTTAAAAAACTAATCTTTTTTCAAATTTCAAATGAGCAGCAATTTTAGTTTGCAATGAAATGAAATTTAACATCTATAATAATATAAATGTAATATCTAAATTAACAAAAAGTTTTCATTATATTCATCTTATAGCAAAAGGAGAGATGCAAATTTTGTCCTTCACTATCAGTAAAGATTTTTTTTTCGTGCCAGCGACTACTGTAACACGTGACCTCTGTCCATACGGTCTCAAAGTGGAATTCGAACCAGTGACATCAGGTTCATCTCCTTACTTTGCGACTCTAGAGCAGACGCTGTTACCATGCACTGCGCCAAGAGGGCGATATATCTATTTGTTGTAAATTGCACCATGTTTGACGATAAGCAGTGATGGTCTATCACATTAATCTGCGCAATGGTGCAATGGTTTGATCGTCTGCTCTATAGTCGAAAAGTAAGGAGTTGATCCTTGCGTCGCGGGTTCGAATCCCTCTTTTTGATGTGACTACCAGTCCTACGGATGAGACCATATAAACACATTTCCCGTGTAGCAGCAGGTGCTGACACGAAAAAGACGACTCCCTACTCAATGGCCCTGAGTGTCAATTATAGGATAAAATTCTCTACATCTGCAAGTGGTGGCGTCTCCATGAGTGAAAAATTGTCAAGAGGGATGTTAAACAATACCTAATCGATCAATTAATCAATCACATGAAAACCTTTTAGTTATTTTTTCTTTCTTTTCATTTTCTCTAGCTTGTGATGATGGTTGGTACGGTAGAGAGTGTAAACAACGTTGTGGTTACTGTAGAGGTAACAAACCATGCCATCACGTGGCCGGATCTTGTTCTGGGTTATGTGAACCCGAATATTCTGGAGATAAATGTGTGTTTTCAGAACATCTAGCAAATCAGAGAGAAATGATTAGGTTGATGAGAGAATTGCTTGCGAACAAAAGACGCAAAATTGATTTGAGAAGTAATGAAACATCTCCCACTGACTTTTAAATTTGAATTTTTTTCAAAAGAGACATGTAAAACTACATGTAAGTGTAATGTTATCACGCGACTGGATCCTGTTTGTCGCTTTCTCAACTGCTTGCAATGGAGGGGAAAATTCCGAAATCATTCAGAGACTTGCTTCTTTTGAAAAGACGTGGATTTGAACTGAGATCAAGCGATGTGTTCCCTACCGACTTTATATGAGATAAATGTTTTTGTAAAGAGTTTGAGAACTTTGTACTCATATAATATGAAAATTGATTTGAGATATAATTGAACATCTCCCACAGACTTTTAAACGTAAAACTTTTTCGTAAGAGCCATGTTAAACTACATGTAAATGTCTTGTTATCATGTGACTTGATCCTGTTTTGCGCTTTTAGTATCAAGGTGATAAATATGAAAAAAGCAAATTTCCCCAACTTATTGCAATACAGAGGAAAATTCTGAACCCAATCAGAGACTTCCTTCTTTTAAAAATACAAAGATTTGAAATGAAAGTAAACGTTGTGTTCCCTACCGACTTCAAAGAGATAAATGTTTTTGATAAGAGCTTGAGAACTTTGTACTCGTATAAATGCATTTGACATGATTTTATCTTGGTTTGTTTAGCTTAAAGATTTGTATATTCCAACAAGGATATCAGCATAATCGTGAGTTATCCATTTGAGTGATGTAGACATGTATATAATAAAAGCAAAATGTAACCTTAATTATTTGTTGCATTGGTATTGTAAAATTAAATGATCAAGTATAATCATAAAAGACAAATAAAATGAAATGTTCTCATTTTATATGTTTCTCTGAATTATTAAATATCTTTTACAAGAGTTTATTTCATTTTTTTTTACAAGTTTCTCAGTTATGTGAATTATTTTTATTTATTTTTTTCATTAATTTTATAGTTGTCGCCTAAATTTTAAACTAGTGTGTGATTAAAAGCAAGTTAACTCGTAAATACTTTCTGTATACTTTAATCTCCTCAAGATTTAATGTATTGTTTTACGGTCCATAAATAGTTTTTATATTGTATACACAAGCATATTTTTAACACTGCATAGTAGCGAATAGTCGCTTGAATTCGTATGTGCATGTACGGGCATTGTGACGTTACAGTCAATACCTCAAAACAACGTTGAAACGGTCGGAGCCAGTTGTATGTCGAGCAGGGCAAATGTTTACAAGTTTACTGTAGTATTATTTTCCAAAAATTTCAATGTCTATAACCAGCGAAAAGATAATACTAAGTTTATAAGTTGTAGAATGTGCCGTTTTTTTATTTTTCTACGACAGATGTCTGTTAATGAAATTGGAATCATCATGCTGCTTTCAATGTCGAATTCTTTTCAGTTCTGAGTTTATTATAAAACAATTATGGACAAATGATACCCATCCCCTTTAAATCTGTTTGAATAAGGTTTGAATAAGAAATAAACAAAATGGTTTAAAGTTCAATTGGTAATGAACGTGCTTTTTTCAGAAGATGTTATCAGGTATATATACATATTTAAAATTTCATATTTAACTTTATAAAAAGGTTTATTATAAAAAAAATTACGTTTGTGGCATTTAACTGTAAGAAAATGCTATTTAAATGATCGGAGTTTGTTGCGACAAGCTATGAACTAAAAAATAAATTTGCAAAGTAGTTCAAAAGGTTTTCAAATAGTATGGTCAAATCTGTTGCAAAACAAATCTGTTATTATACAATTATAGCCTTTTGATGAGGTCAATCCCTAGATATACGAGAGTTGTCCGTAAAGTTCGTGGACTACATTGATAATTACTGACAAACATTGATAAAATAGATGAAACTATTATTTTCATTTAATCCATGTTTCATTTTATAAATATTCAATTTTTCAACAAAAACAAAGCACAAATGGTTAAATTTTTATCAGATACAAAAAAGACAGGCACTCATACCCGGAGCATTAAAACGAAAATTATTTGACGTTACCCGGCGTCAAAATTTTTCAACATAGTCACTGTTTAACTCAAAACATTTCTTGAGTCGCTTTAACGAGTCATACAAATGTGCACAAAATGTTCATTTCATACGCAAAATAATAGTTAACAATGTCTGTCTCATATTCTGCAATCGTCCAAACTCTGTTTGCGTAAAAAGATTTTATTTACGGAAAGTCATGACCACGTTATTGACTGATTTTTTACAGCACTGCAATCTCGGAATGATTATTTTTCTATACGCATGTCATCCTGTAAACCGTTCCTTCTGTCTGAAAATATTATATGCCACTTAAATACTAATGTACAGCGTCTTTTACTATCTTTCCCCGATTGTTTACAAAATGTATTAGTCTTTGTAGGTGTTTTTCCGATGTCTACAAAGAATTTAATCACTGTTCACTGCTCCACCAATTCCAAAAACGTCTCCTTTTTCAGCAAGTTCGATCCTGTCTCAATATGTTCCATCTTTTGTTGTTCAGGCATTTTGTTAACGTCTGTTAACCTTATTATTTAGAAGTGATCCAGATTTCCTCAGAATCGTATAAAAATAAAAGAAATTTATAAACTGATAAATAATTTTTCAATTAAAATTTTGTGGCGCTCCGGGTCTCCATTCAAAGGCTTATTATGAAGCCATAATTGTTATTAAACATTCAAAATTAAAATTGTTTTTACATTTTTACATTTTCAATTCACTCATAGTAGAGGATTAAAGATATGGTAATAATAAATTTCAATGACAAACTTTTATATAATTTTTTACATGTCCATAAACTTTACGGACATCCCGTTGTGCTCGATCAATATTGTTTCTCTAAGGTCTATATATCTAGGGATTGTACCGAATCAAATGACTATAATTTTATCGTTTTATTAATTTTTTATCACTTAATTAATGAGAAATTTCTTAAAATTCTTGTTTCTTATATTCAGTTCCTCCTCATATATGGCATTGTTATGTCATTTGCATTATGACGTTACAGTTATGAAAAGCAGTATCTATTTTCAGACACATCCAGTTTACAAAAACTATTGTTACGTCAGCATTATTATTGCTTTACAGAAAACGCTTCCAATTTTAGAAACAACAGGTTATTTTTTTTTTACATAGAAACATTCAGTCCATTACACTTTTTATTCTTGATCATGCGATCTAGTTTGAGCCAATCAGATAGAATGCAATAACAGAGATGAATGAAAAATTATTTTAATTTAATTACTACATGCATATATTTCTTGAATGGAATTAGCTTTCATTTCTGAATTTTGCAATTATAATTGTAATCACCTAATGAGGTGTTTAATGTTTGTTTCCTTAGTCTAACACGATTTTAAAAATATTATCTGGCAGTGCCTATCTTGCAAAGAAAGATACATTTACACTGTAATGTGTATCTACAGTGGAATGGAATATATATTCTTCTTTATAGTTTATGTTTTCATGGTTAGTTTCAATTCTTTGAAATAAACATAAACATCTGTAATGTATTGACTGGAATATCACTGAAATTAGATAATAAAAGCTCATATTTGTTTGAAAAAAAAAATAATGCATACATCTAATGACACATCATAATGCATACATCTAATGACGCACTTTCAACTAATTCTTTTTTTTTGTATTTGAAAGCAACTTTAAAGATGTTGAGTGTTTTGCTATACTTAGTGAAGACATACATGTTCACTTACGCTGATTACTTCCTTATTGCAGTAGAATTAATTGAAAAGATTTAATTGTTCATTGGTTCCTCTCTTAAGATGTTTGTGTAATACACTTAAGAAATTTGAGGAGAAAAAATGTGCAAATTATTTAAGAGCGTGGTTCTTCATATCTTTTCTATTTAATTACAATGAAACATATTTCATATTATTACTAAGATTTTGCATTTTTGCATTTCAGGTCTCATGTCAGAAAGCATTTTAAGCTGGATATTTGTTTATTGTTCAGGATCACTACTGAGGTATGTGTGAATATATAAAAATACTTTAAACAAGATAAGCTTTTAAAAAATGCCCTTGTCTTTTTTTGCATTATTGCAGTAACGATTCTTATTAATTAATTAATTAATTGAAGAAATGTATAATAAACGTGCTAAAAATTGAGAGAAAAAATCCAGTGAGCCTTTTTTTTGTAGAGGGAAGAGAGAAGATAGGTTGGTAAAATAATACGATTTAAATTTTGAATTTTTATGCCTTTATTCTACATTCAGCATTAATATGAAACAAAATGTTAGATTCTGTTGAAAAAATCACGGTTCTTTTTTTCTGCTTCGAAAACTCCTGAGGGAAATTTTGATTTTCTTAAGTGGACTGTAGGAAGTATGTATTCTTCACTGTGTTATTTTTTTGTTAATCGATATTATTACAGTGCGATGTAGGGTAGTTTATGAAAATAAATACGAATTTTTGAAAATCAATTTTACATGGGCATTAAAGATACTTTTGTCCAAGAAATATGAGTACTTTAGTAAAATCAATTCTTACCGTGAAGGATATGGAGATAACGAATAGCATTCAATATCAAAGTCCATTAAACAATACAGAGCAAATACGGACCTCAAAATATCAGAGGTGGGATGGGGTGCTATGGAGGCATCCCCTGCAGACCGGTCATACCTGCCTTGTGCTCTTTGTCATGATCAGGAAATGACGGAAATATCCATCGTCAACTCGTTGTATAAATAGTGGACTAACAATTATTAGGAAATACGTCAGTCAGCATTTGTCTTAATGATATATTGTATTTGCTAACGAGGTCATTGTATCAACCATAGAACTAACGAAATGATGACTTTAAAAGAGACTGGTGATATTCTTGTTTCATCAATTTTTTTAAATAGTTTACATCGTTTTAGAAATTGTTTATACATAGAGCAAGCTCTTGCGAATCGATTCAACTAAAGACGTATATAAGCTCAGTATGCAGGTGATGAAGGTATATTGCAGCATAAGTATCCATCTTTTTTTTATGTATCAAATCTTTGATTTGAATAATTTGATTTTTTTTCCTTTCTTTTTGTTTTGTTAAAACAGGGGGGAATTCTTTGCTGATTCGCAGTCACTGTATTGAGAGTTGTTCTGATATAGAGTAGTAAAACTGTATAATTATATGATTTCATGCATAATATAAAATTAATTGAGCTATAATATCAACTTAAATTAAGGAGAAATGTTTAGAAAATCTCTAATCTCGTATATTTATATTTTATTAACTGAAAGAAACCTTAACAACATTTTCTAATTTAATTGTAATTTTGTATTTTTTAGATAACGATAATTGAATCCAAAACAAATTGACCCCAAGACTGACAACAGAAAATATGCTGTAAATCTGAAAACAGAGAATCTGAAGAAGGAATAGATATTGTTGACTGTAGATTTTGCACCTCTTATGACAACATTTTTCAAAATATGTTTACATTTTGATCATGTTTAAATAGTGCATTAATTCTATGAAATAAATCATGACAAATTTCACATCTGTTGTTGTATTTTGGGAAGACGATAAAAAAATAAAATAAAATTTCATAAACATTTTAAAATTATCCATCACGCGACTTAAAACGTGTTTTAAAAAATGTTAAAAAAATGAATGTTAATGATTTCATCTCTTTTAATGGTATTCAGCATAATTGTATGTTATATAAATTGCTTCGAATAACATGCAGTATTAATACTTAGCAGCATAAATATATAATTGTGAATAAGTTATACATGTATATAGTGTAATTACTATGCAAAAGGATACTATGTTGAATAAAAAGCATGCAGTATAAATCTTTTGTGGAATGAATGCATCAATGCTGACATAGACATTACAAAAAAAATGTTTTGGAATAAGTGATTGCATGTCGAAAACATTATCTGATATAATAATTCTAAAAATCAGTATAAATATTTGCATCAGTGTATTATAAAATGTATTCCCTTAGTCCATCCTTGGCTTGTGATATACAATTAAATATTTGATAACAAGTATAATCAATTTGATATCATGTGTATTTCTTATTTAGAAATACACTGTACCTAGAAATATATTAGCAATTAATTTGCCGCCTCTATTGTCATTGCCATATTTTAAAAGAAAAGCTTATTTTCTTTCTTCTTAAAGACTAAGAAATTAAAAGCTTTGCTGGGTCTGATATTTTAAAAACATTTACGGAAGCAAAAAATATGTTCTACATGTATTACATGTAAAATATGCTGTATATTTTTTTTGTTTGAGTGATGATCCATATGTTTCAGATAAGAGAAAATAATCGTATGTGCACATTTAGTTATATATTACATCTTGTTTTAAACATTTTAAATAATTTTATATCATATTTTACAGTATGCCCGGATGGAACTTATGGATCTGAATGTAAATCTGTTTGTAGTGAGGGCTGTCTCTCGGTGTGCGATAAAAAGAACGGGACGTGCGAGAAATGCAGAGAGGGATACACAGGGGCATTCTGTATCGACGGTATTGTATTAATTATGAACCGTAATGAAATGTATTTGTCACTCTAATTAGTACATATCAGCTCAATCTGTATTACAATATTATAAAGCTGGTGTGATTTTTTTTATGTACATCATTTACTTTAAAACAAAACTGTTATGCGTGTACATAGCCTATTTTAAGAAAATGTATTCATAAATTTTATGATGTTACATGACTACATGTAAATGATTGGAGGCAGGCATGAGATATGACAATTTTTATTAACTTTTACATTCCATGATTATACTATTTAAAATGGACCGTATATATCGTCATTACATAAAACAAAATAAGTATTAAAAACTTCAATATAATTATCAGTTGGTAAAAATGAAATGTCCTATCTCTAAATATATGATTTCGGATATTTTGACCGATTGTTGGGAATTCTGAGAAATAATTCCTGGTCATTATATTTACAACATGGATATTTTTTCATGTACATGCTAAAATAACTTCAAATTTTACAAAAAGAAAAAAATGATATTTACTGGGATATTATATTTCAATAAAATAATTGATTTTGTTTCTTCTTTAAGCTCATGCATTACAACGGCGGATGACATCAATAGTTGAAGTGGCAGGAATTACCACAAGTATCGCCTGTTTCAGCATACTGTTTGCACTTGTTTTGAAAAGGTACTTCAATAACAATAAGCATATAATTGCCACTTTTTTAGCTAGTGCTCTATTTGTTTATTCGAGGGTTTTTGTCACTTTAAATGTTCCATTGTCTAAGCCTTGTTTTAGCCGTTTCTCATCAAGGGCGATGAAAAAGTTTGTGTCTTAAAAATTAACGATATTATATAGACGTAAATACAGTTTTTTTCATAAACATTACGTGAAAAGATATCTGAGTTTTACAAACTTATCGTCTTTTGTATACATGTAAATGTATTATACATGTATTTGTCGTGTACGATATTTGGCGGAAATTCATTTTTTAAAACAATTAACGTAGATTTATTTTAGTGCTGTCTGAATGTGCTAGTTATAAATGTTAAATGTACATTAAACATTTAGCAATGCACTTGAATTAGCGGACTCTGCTTTCCGCCAAAATCGCTAAATAAAATACCCTGCTAAATGTTTTATGATTACAGTAAGGTGAATAAGGATTTTAAAATGAATAAGTAATTCACACGTATGATATTTGTTTGAATTGTTTATTACAAGGGGTTTCAATTTTCACGGTTTAAGAAGAAAACTTTTTCGAGGAGATTTGATTGAAAATCGTACATTTTAAGCTGATAAAATATTCTAATGTAAATCGAAAATTTATCATTTCTAAAAAGAAGATTGTTCGTGGATCTCTTAATACTATGAAAACAAGGAAAATTACACCCATCCAAAGGAAATTCAGTGTTTTCATAATAAATTATTTGATTAAGCTTGATTTTTATTTGACAACATCATGTGTCATACAATGTTCATATTAGCAGAGAAGATTGTGCAAGAATAATAATATTCAATGCTAAATTTCATACTTCATGGTGTAATTGTTTTTCTTTTACAGGGAGAGGTTGGCTGCTATGTGAAATGATTTCTAATATCGAACACCGGAATGACAAGCTCCAACATTTGAAGAAACTCCATTTGATTTTTTGAATTCTGTTAAAACGCTTCTTCTGCATCCCTTGTTTTGCAATGCTTGCCCTTTGCAAATAATTATTACCCCAACATTTAAAGAAAGAATGGCGAGTTATACCAGATGTTTTATATTTTATTGTATTGTAATTTTTCTTGTGCATGTATACATTGTAAAGTTCTATATTTTATTGTATTGTAAATTTTCTTGTGTATGTATACATTGTAAAGATAGGAATTAAATTATCGTAATATCTTACAGTACAGTATATGTATTTTCTGTATTGCTTAGCGTACATTCATAATCTTTTTTGTAATTACCCCTCATATTCTTTAAATATAATATAAATTTGTGTGTATATGCTTGTGTTAATATGGAAATACAATTCATTTAAAAAAAAATTAGTAAACTTTTTGGGTTGTAAGTGGTATATATTTTTGGAGGTAGGAATAATAATTACCTACATCTTTCCAGCCTTTTTAAACACCTTGTCTTAATTATTGTAAAATTGAAGAATTTATTTTTTTATAAATTGAAATTTTAACGGGGTCGATACAAACAATTATAATTTTTTTTAATTTGTAAATGTTCCATGGATGTTACTCATTTCCATCGATTATTTTTCTAATTGATGAAAAAATACTTGATTTCTCCATGTATTTAACTATATTTGTTTCTTATCATGAATGTAAAAAATTGCACATTAAAGCTTGTTTTCTGCTATTTAGAATATTATATTTAGTGACAAAATATGGATTTTTGACAAAATTTTCAAATGGGCACTAAGACAGAAAAACTGTTTTTAAAATCATCAGCTGAATATTTACTGCAATATATGGAAAGAAACCTGTATAAGAAACCTTGTTGGTTTTAGTTTACTGAAAGTCAGTTTCACCCTTTGTCATTGAATGTCTGTTCATACGGGGCTTAAATTCTGACATTATAGTGTTATAATTTCACACAAAAAAATCTAGTTAAGCAATTCTTCATTAAAATTTAACGTCGTTATACAGGGATTGTCAATGGATCTACTTTAATAGACAAAATGTAACGAAAGGCTTAGATGACTAGTTATACGTACTTTCTAGAGGTAATGAACAGATAATTGAGAGCCTTCTTGAGGTCTTATCAAGTTAACTCTTCCTTCTAATATATAAATAATAGATCGTATCATAGATAGGTGAAGAGTTCAACAATTGTGTTTGATGCTTTACAATTTTGTTGTATTAGAAAAAAGCACATTCAGACTATTTGATTTCATTTTTTCGTATAATTTTGTTTTAATTTTTACTGATTAATCTAACATAACCTAGCGTTTCTATAAAATTAGTCATACAGATGTAATGCAGTCAATTCTTTATATAACATTTTTGAACAAGTTTTCCTATTATATCACAAATGTGATAAGTTTCGCTATAAACCCTGAAAAATGCCGAGTCACACCGGAAACAGTTATGTCCGGCCGGAAACATTAAACAGTTATGTCACTATTTTATCACGTTCACGTGTTTTTACATATATTTAAGCTCGGGTTCGACATTCAGTTGCTAAGCAAACGTCAACAGTGGGCGATTCAAAATGACGGAAAAGCAACTTCGCTTTTTTTAGTTCCAGTGATTTGAACAATCTAATTGAAAAAAAAAAAAATCAGTAAACACAATTCGGGTGATCAGTTCAAGTGTAAGTGTTTTGAAGCTTCTGTGATGAAACTGGACGAGATGTTTCCGACTTGTACGCAATACCGAAATCCGAGCTCCAGGAATTTCTTAAAGTATTTTATGGGGGTTTACGAAGTGCAGATGGAGAAGCTTATGCAAAGAGAAGTATGATATCAATCAGACATGGTTTACAGAAGTATTTCATGAAGAAAAGAAAGATAATATGTAAATGATTGATTTTAAAGGCAAATACGGTATTTTTTGTGTGCCAAAATTAAAAAGGAGGGCAAAGGAGCAGTAGTACACAAAGAACCCATTACAAGATCAGATTTACAGAAACTTTATTTTTTTTAATTGTAAATGTCCCATACAAGACAAAGTCTTTGTTCATTACATGCTCTATTTTTGTAATAGAGGAAGGGAGAATTTAATAGGTTTAAGAATTAGTGACTTTTCTACTGGTACAGATAGTGAACAATATTTGTATTTTGCAACGAGATCACGTACAAAGAACCACAAAGATGACGAAAGTAACAGTCAAGGTTTTTGATTAAAGATCAACCGCATTGCCCATATTATCTTTTGTGACCTACATCGAAAAACTGAACAAAGATTTAGATGTGCTTTGGATAAATGGGCCAACTCAAGTATGAAAAGTAGCTTTTTAAAAAAATTCTCAAAAAATGAATTTTTACACAAACCACTGTTTGAAAGAAACTTCTATCACAGAATTAGACAGATTTTATCACGTCAATTACACCAATCAGAAAGCAGCATAAGGAGTTGTTCAGCTCATGTTTGCGATGAATGGACATGGCCATGTCTATTTCAAGGGCTATTATGGGAATTCAGTTATTAAATTGTTATATAATCATACATGTAACAAAATATTTATGATTTGTTTAAATTATATTACTTATAAATACATAGAAATACATTTTTTTTCAGCGAAAAAACAAAAAATGTTTTGGGTTTATCTACCAACCCTGCCGCTGTGCTGCCACCCCAGAATGCAGATGGTGAGGATGATATTACATTTGAAGGTATGTACAATAAACTTGTCCAATTTTATTATTTAACTTTTCTACTCTGCATAAGGATTTTCATTTTTATTCTTTTTTACAGACATTGATTTTCTTGAAATTACAAATTCCCAGAGCAACACATGTTGGAGACAGTTTTCACAAGTGAAACTAGGAAAACATCTGTGAACTGAATATATAATGTTGTAGATCACACTGTAAGCATAGGTGAAAAGTTTAAATTTCAACAGTTGTGTTTTCATGGAAGTTAAAAATTTTGTTTATCAAAATTTTAAAAGAAAATTTTTATTTGTCACATTCTGGCTACTTGATTTCATTTTTTTCGCACAATTTTATTTTTATACTGGTTTACTTAATCTAACTTATAATTAGCGGTTTTATTAAATTATTTATAATGCATTCATTTCTGCATAATCTCCTGGTGCTCAGACTATAAAAATACTACATCCGATTTTAAAAATAATGTAACCAGGGCGTACTTCACTTTATAAGAGGAAAAGGTATTCCATTCTGGTTTGAATATTGGTAAGGGAGAGGTGGTCGCACCCATATTTGTCTAGATACGTCATTACACATTCAAATTAATAAAAGATTGCATCTGTCATGGTCGTTTAATCGACCTTACGTTTGGTAAAGTTTTGACTTAAAAGAGGCTGGGTAGTCGTGGCAATTTTTAGACTATTTTGATCTCCTTTAGAAGAAGAGCTCCATATAAAGATATAATAAACTGATCAAATTTTAAAATCAAAATTTTGAAATTTTTCTTTGCCAAATGATAGTTGACAGCTAAAGATACCATATCCAAAAATTTAAGTTAATGAAAAAATAATTTGCTGACCCCCTAGCCTCCTTTAACTAGACTGTTTTTTTTTATCTTATGAAAAGAAGCTACCCCATATAAGGAATCGTCCGCACTAGAACAAGCTCCTAGGTATGAAATCACCCATGAAAAAATAGTTTCTATGGGCAGGTGAAAACAGTGAGTTGTGAATTCAAAGACGATAGAAAATATGAGGTAAAACATGCATTAAATAAAACCGACCCATTTATGCAATGTTCTAAATGATACAATTAGTGAGTGTGAGAATTAGAAATATATATTTTTATAGATAAAATGTCTTTGATACATTATATATAAATGTTGACACGAAGGTCATGGTACTTTTTTTCACAAAATCCTTCTCATATCAAAACGGATCTGCTTGTTTCTATTCATTGCTTTCAGTCAGATGCAGCAATACTTTTTTGTCTATATTTTTACGCAGGTGAGAAAATACTCATATGGTTTTAATAAATAATAATAAATGTCTGTTCTTAGTACATACAGTGTACATAGATTTTCTCTTTCTCCTTGAACCTGGATTGCCCCATAAATTCTCAGCCTAGTAATTCTACATAACATCTTCAACAACTTGAAACTCCAATTGCGGGGGCAGCTTTATAATTGTTGTAGTTGCAATTTTCTATTCGGAATTCAATGTTAATTTAAGAAATGTGAACATTATAAGCGGGTATCAGGGAAAAAGTATTTAATATTGATATACGGAAAACAGTTTATTAATTTTTGAATTTTCAATATCTTATTAATCCAAATAAACTTACAATTATACGAATGTGAAGTGCAAGATGGGGTCCATATATTTTCTCAGCGCTCACATTTTAATGATGTCCTCTGTATTTTTAATTGGTAAGTAATTACTTTTTTTTTCTCATTTGTTCTCTGAATGACAATGCTTTGTAATTCGATCACATTTTAATTAACCTTTCATTTTTTTTAAAAATTTGCTTGAATAAAAACGTATCTAGTTATTTTGACATTTTAATGATCAAAGACCACAAGACCTTACGGATCAGAAGTAGGTCATTTTCCTCCCTTTTTCCATTATTTTCCTATCTGTCTGTCCTTCCGTCTGTAAATTCTAATTCATACTCAATTATTGCCATTTAATTTTGGAGAAAGATTAACCATAAAGACAACAAATTTGTTTCGATTTTTGATTTTGTAGAATTTTGGACATGGTTCAATGAATGAAAATGTTTTTAAATCCATTCAAAATGCTACTTCTCATGCAGGTTTTGACTAATAGAACATTAATATACACTCTAAGATTTATTGTCTAATTATATTGTATTACATGTATCATTAAAATGTACGTTGACTCAATATTGATAATTTAATTCTAGCTGTTACACTCATTTGATTGGTTAGAAGATTTTAATTATGTTTTATAACACAACTAGCCTACGTCACAATGATTAACGTTAAAAGCATTTTACTCCGCTGGACGTTATTTTAGAAATATGCTAAATTCAATGCCCTATCTCGAAGGAAAAATTGTCTTATTGTCTGTTCTGAAAGTAAACTATAAGAAATGAAGCTTATTTCAACTTATGTTATACCATGTAACATAACATGGGACAGTTTACGCTTATTTATAAACCGCTTCGCGGGTTACGAAGCGTAAACTGCCCAAAGTTATGTTATATCGTAAAAAAAAAGATTAACGACGTTCGATCCTGATATTTAAAGTCTTAAACTTTTTTGCCAGGTACATTTTTAATTTTTACATACATATCTTAATTAAAATTCAAATAAAAAAACGGGGGTCAATATGCTTCTTTTGGCGCTACTGTACATTTAATATGAATTTTTTTGCTCTGATATTTGTGTCTTAATTAAAAATCACATCTTCGACGTTTCCCCTTCAATATTTTTTATCCAAATAAAGCAAGAAACAAAATGAACTCTAAGTATGTTTAAAAAAAAAAGAAACTAAGACTAGTAAGAGAAAGTTTCATATTGCTTTGCATAAATAACTATTTATCCTTTTTGCACTCATAAAAGGTGATTTTTCTGGCATTGAAAATTTAATTAGGAAGAAAATTATTTAAAAGTCTTAATTTTTTTTCTGATTTTAAGCAAATAGGTCAAAGTTATCTTGAATATTTAGAAAAGAACATCAAAAGTGGGGGTATATGATGTAAATTTTCAGATATTACTAAAAAAAGAGTCACTTTTACGTTAAAATTGGGTGAATATTTTCCCGGATTTTCAGAATATATATATTATATACCGGGGTATGTCAAACTTTGTTGATAGAATTCATAAGAAATAACTTAATTGATATTTCAGAACCAGTATAACATATTTCACTGCAAAAAACAGCTTTGTGGGCAACCAGCATGGAAAAATAGGAATTCAAAATAAACAGTACTGTTATAGTTCAAAAGGGAAAGACTGATCATTTTCGTCTAAAAAAATTTCCGGCACAAAATATAGTCCTAGTTTAATTCTTTAAATAGAATTTAATCGCGTTTTTTTTTCATTGAATATAGTTCAATTGCATTGCAAAATACAGATTTAATCTAAATACTTAATATTGATGCAGAATTTTATAAATAAAGGACATGACCAAAATCCACTCAAAAGCCCAGGATCGAACGTCCTTAAATAGGTTTCATTCTTTAAATAAAACTCATGAAAACATGCAATTTGAGATTGATTGTTGTTTATTCCTTTAATGTTTCGTTGTATTCTTTTGAATCAAAGTCATCTCTGTATTTCAGTATGAATTAAAGGAAAGTTGCACACATCATTAGAATTCTTTTTAATTGATTTTCCGTAGCTAATGTTTAGATTAAGATTAGGTTAAGATTTTAATTTTCCCATCTTCCTGTCGCCCGCGTGGCGCAGTGGTTAGAGCGTTTGCTCTAGAGTCGCGAGGTAAGGAGTCAATCCTTTCATCGCGGGTTCGAATCCCACTGTGGGACGTGGAGACCGGTTCTTCATATGAGACCGTATAAACCGAGGCCCCGTGTCGCAGTATGTGCTAGCACGAAAAAAGATCCCTACCTGCTTAATGGCCTTGAGTGCCAAGTATAGGACAAAATTTGCAGCTCCCCACCGGCAAGTGGTGGCATTTCCATATGAGTGAGACATTCTCGAGAAGGCTGTTAAACAATATACAATCAATCAATCAATCAGCATCACCATTTTAAGTACCAATCGGTTTGGCTAAAGACATAGAGACTTTTGCTTCCATTGTAGAACCTTGGGTGACATCAGTTGGAGTTTGCTAAATGAACTCTGAACTTGGAACATGTAAGGATTACTCTGTTAAATGGTTCTATAATTCCATATCTGGCCTCTGTGAACGGTTCTTTTATGGTGGATGTGGTGGTAACAACAACCGTTTTGATGATTTATATTCGTGTTTACGTTGATGTAGACAAAATGAAACTGATACAGGTGCAGTGGATTTTCTGGTTGATCTTTTATAACTTATGAAGGAAAAAAAAAATCACAAGCACTCTCTGAATTTAAATTAAAATCCATGTGGTTAAAATAAAGTTAACTACATATATTTACAGACAGAGACGAAATTTCACTAATAAGCACCAATTTCGTAAAATAAATCGAAGAGTTGTGCTTTACTCAACAATCAATCTAATTCTTGATGCCTTTGGACACAATATCTTTAGTCTTAAATTTATAATTTGACTATCTATAGCTCTTAAATATAACTGTGAAGTGAGAACAATTTCACAAGAAAGTTTACCTTTGTTGAATAAATGCCTTTTTATGAGTCGACAAAATCTGCGGTAAATTTACAAAAAAAATCTTTTGTAACATTATTTTTAAAATGCACATTGATGATATCCCTTTTTAGTGCCTAACCCTATTTGCGAACAGCCAATGATCAGCGGTCCATGTTTAGGATTTTATAAGAAGTACTATTTTAATGGACAAGAATGTAAATGATTTGTCTACGGAGGATGCAGGGGATACGAAAACAATTTCGAAACGAAGGAACAGTGCAAGGCCACCTGTGAAATCAACATCGATAACACAAAAGGGGAAGGTATAAAGATAACCCTACGTCATTAAGAAATATTGACATTGAAATCTTACATAGATTCAGGTTAATAATTGGATGAAAGAAATTCAATATACTTTAATAAAGACATTGGTATGTCTTATAAAAAATGTATATATGTACATTAAACTAATAGATTGCTTTTACGAGCATAATTTTCTTAAATATTAATTTTAGATGCAGTGTCAGTACTAGCATTATCAGCTCAATTGATCACATACCAGAAAGGCTTTTGCATTAAAACAGTGACATCAGTTTTGTCCGTCTGTTTGTATCTATCTGTCTTTGCATCTTTCTTAAATCAAATTCAAAATAAGTTACTCAAGGGCATTTGGATACATTCCCAACAGCAACATACCTTAGTTGTTTGTAAAAGCTAGAGCCTGTTTCTTTCTTTGTCAAGAGTTCGCCACATTCAGGTAGAAGTTACTGATGTTTTGGATGACGAATATGGAGAAAACGAACAGTGTTCAATATTATATTCCATAAAACAATACAAAATAGGAGAGAAGCAGACAGATACGGACCTCTAAAACATCAGATATGGGGTCTGGTTTCATGGAGGAGTGAGCATCCTCTGCCGAACGGTCACATCTCCCGTGTGACTCTTGTTATGATCTGGAAAAAAATGAAAAACCGTCGCCAATTCAGCTTCTAAATTATGGACAAACAATTAGTATGAAAGACCTCAGTCAGCATTTGACTATGAGGCACGCTACATATATATGTCTGGTTGCTAAATGTCCCTGGGTGCCTCTGAGTGCTGAGTGAAGTAAAATTTTAAACCCTTCACTGGCAAATGAGTTCGATTGGTACGTAAAGAGACATAAAACCAAACACTTATTCAAGGAAAAAACTACTCTTCTTAAAGATTTAATCCAATTTTACTAAGTACCCGTGAACCCATTCACGGGTACAAAAGGCCTTGCATCAGCTATAATTTTTTTTCTCCCAACAAATTTACAAAAGAGCAGGGAAACAGATGCCAATGAAATTAATCAGGTCATCTTCGAACAATTTTTGCTTGCTCTCTCTCGAATATGGGTAAAATGTAATCCTCAGGTATATAGCTTGGACTTTTTTTCTCTTAGAAAATAGCAACATTTATTTTAATGAAAAAATAAAATCAAAAATAAAAGATTGTAGAACATCTGTATCTTAATCCCTGGAGAAGGGTGTAAAAAAGTTGTTTGAGTAGGTCTATTTTCAGGCAGTTGATCTGAAAAGGGAAAAAAACAATATTTAAAGAGTACCAAAAAATATTATTTGTTTTTTCAAGTGTGCAATCCTGGATGGTATGGAAGTGGATGCCAAAAACAATGTGGTCATTGCGAGGGTAATATCGCATGCAATCATAGAAATGGATCCTGCCCTACGTCATGTAAGCCTAGATATCAGCAGGAAAAATGCAACAATCGTATGTAAATTCTTCATCGTTCTATTTGTAAGATGAGGGTAAAAAATGACAATGAAACAATTAACTGTGAAAGTAAACTCAAGTAGCTTATACAATACGCGTTCATCTTCATAAAGAATAAAAAAAAACGTTTCTTTACCTAACAATTCCTTTCAATATTTGCAAAATAAGGTAACTAATATCGTTGCTTCTATCGATATTAAATTCATTTTAAAAAAATAGAACTCTTAAGATAATCTGGGAAGTTTTCTTGAGAGTTAATACGTCTGAGGAGGATTCTTACTCATCCTTAGCCTCTGATCCCATCTTTGGAATTTCCGGTTTATATTTACGTCTCCTTCACACATGTGTACTGCGTATAAATTTTTATAATCGAAAAATACTCTTGATCTTTTTTATTCTTAGTGACCAAACCGGTCACGGTAGCCTAGTGGTACAGCGTTCGCTTCGTGATCGAGTGGCCCGGGTTCGATTCTCGTTCGCGGCGCCGCGTCATACCTAAGACGTAAACAAAGGTAGTGAATGTTCCTTCGCCAAGCGCTCGGCACTAGAAGTGAAAGTCACGGGTCTTTCGGATATGACCTTATTTCGGATATGACTTTAAAAACGTAGGTCCCGTGTCACGGTAGGCGCTGGCACGCTTACTGCTCAATGGCCCTGAGTGCCGAGTATAGGTCTTTAAATTTGAAGTCCTTCACTGGCATTCGGTGACGTTTCCATATGAGTGAAAAATTCTCAAGAGGGACGTTAAACAATATACAATCAATCAATCAATCAATCAATCTTAGTGACCAAGATTTCTCTTATGTCATTTTTGTTCTTCTACTTTTTTAGTCTGCGATCCCGGTTGGTATGGTAGCGAATGTAGAAAACAATGTGGTTACTGCAGAGGTAACAAATCATGCCATCACGTGACCGGATCCTGTTCTGGATTATGTGAACCTGGATATCTCGGAGACAAATGTGAAAATAGCGTATTTTCTAAACATCTAGCAAATCATCGTAAAATGATTAAGTTAATGAGAGAATTACTTTTCGATAAGAGACGCAGAGTTGAACTAAAGGAAAATTGTGCGTCTCCCACTGCCTTTTGAAAATAAAAACATACTTTTTCAAACAAGACTTTTTAATGACTATTTTTTTACACTACTTCTTGCATGAATTAGATCTTCGATATAAAAATTATGCACCTTATTATTTGGAAAGTCACTTCCTGACCCATGAAAATCAATCAAAATTATTTTTTGCCTTATTTTTTAAAATTTTTATTGATGAATGAATAAAAATATACTAGTACTCGACATAGGAAAAAGTAACATACATGTATTACTAAGATATATTTCAAAATACTGGTAAATAAGCTTTACATGTTACTGTAAAGACGGTTTCTAGAATCATTTTTTGTCTAAGACATCACTTGCAATTTTGAACTTGTCTATCCGAACTGCAGAGCTAAACATTTAAAAGGTAAACGAATGGACAAGAAGAAATGATCATTATGTTACTGTTTCGAAATTATGTTACGTAAATAATGCATCTTTTCACAGCAACGTCTGCCAATGGTTTATGAGGAGAAAGGCGTTATCAAAAACTCTTGTCTCGAGAAGATGTTGTTTTTAAAGTCTCATCCAAAGGACGTGTAACATATACTGTAGGTACAGAGCGCTTAGTAAATGAGCAGTTGCTACCTATTTTTATTGACTTGGGTCAGTTGAGGCTTGTTTTGGAATTCACAACCTTTCTGTTCACTGGGCAAGTGCTCTACCGACCTAGTTACCTTGATGTGTGAAAGTTCAATTCTAATTTTGTTAATGTCATATCATAAATTGTATGAAACAACATTGGTATATGTTAAGGGAAAGGAAGATAGAAGGAAAGAATCTAAAGATGAACGTTTTTTGTATAAGTATTACAGTGTAAGTAAATTATTGTAGGCTTATACTCTAGAATTTAAGAGCTTCACCTTTAAAACAACAACATAAAATTAAAACTCAAGTACTACATCTTCATTTTCCTTTAGTATTTAAAGTTTGCTTTTTCCGTATGTTGAGAACTCTTATAAGATTTCATTTACGACAGCAGAACTTCCTTGTATGCTGATATACTTGTTTTAAAAGAAAAAGCAATCATTACGCATCTTTCTTTTAGAAAATGTATACTTTTACATTACATGTATACATGTATATATAGAATTGATGTTGCTTTTTATAAATCATTGAATAAATATAAAATTGATCTTTTATGGAGGTCCCTTGTCGAAATTAAAATGCAGATAATTACAGTAGACTAAATATTTGTAACAATACTATGAACAAAAAGTAAACTTAAGAAATAGGGGAACCTGATAGAGTATATAAAACTAATACATTTAAAAAGACTTGAAATAGACTTGAAGACCAAATGTACAAAAGAATTTGTGATCATAAAGGAAAATAAAATAACGCAGTTTATTTTTTTTTTTTTAATATACTACCGCATATTTGAGTTCATCTCATAATATGCGCCGTTATCAAAGCTCTATCCTTTTATTATATGTCATCATTCACCTCCTTTTTGTGGAAAAAACTAATAAATGTGATAAGCCGGAATTTATTTATCCATCCATACAGTGTCGGTACTTAGTCACTAGGTTTACGGGTTATCTCCCCTTTTCTATGCATCAATGAAAGTGAAAGGTGGGTGATGAAAGTATCTGATTTATGTTTTTGTTTTATGAAATATTTTATAATAATTTCCAGTCTTTAAAGTTAAGTTTCAGTCAAAGAAGTAAAACAGATTATCTTATTAACATTGATATTGCTCGATGGCAAGTATTTTATTGGATTGAAACAGATCGATTTGCCACCCGTCCATGCTTTAAACACTGACACATGGTACAAGATTACAATGTGGTAAAATAATAACCAACTTCATCAGCAGATTTTGAATGAATAAAAACTTACTAAGTGAAATAATATATGAACAAAATGAGCTAATGTAAAAATAGGTATGAACTTCAACTTTATTCGGTCCATGTTATTCAAGGTCATTTGCCAATAAACATCCGTACACATGGTGGCCTATATTTAGTTACTTAGATCCCTTAGCCTATCTTTAGGGGATTTAAAAATGGGAATATCCATAATTATAATTCTTACAGTATGAGTATGTTTTTTATAACTTTGGGTTTGGTGCATTTATCAGTTTATTTAAAATATTGAGTGATTTTTTAAAAAAATAAATAAGTAAATGTTCAAGGATAGGGTTACCCTAGCTGTGCCATACCAGTTTACCTTTTGTCCTAAAAACAGTGAATAAAAAATAAAAATACAGATTGAGAAGTAATAAAAGTTTGACAAATCTTTAGAAATGTTATTTATAGTTAGATTCACAAAGGGACAGAACTCTAATTAAAGTATATAAATTTCAATCAAGGCCATTCAACTTTAACAAGGGTCCAAAGAGAGGCATGAAAGATATGCAGTTGCGACAAAGACAGTAATCAATTGTGAAATAAAATAGTTTGAAGTAAAGTACATTACAAGTTTGGGTGCTTTTGAATGTAGCATTACAATGATGCATTTTATGATATGAATGAAACATCAAGTAAGATGTGTATTTGTTTAGACATATTTACAGTTGTACACATGCTATATGACAAAACTCAAGGTAAGTAAATATGAATGATGACTAAAAAAGTAAATAGATTTTGAGTCAAAAAATTCAGTTGGATGGAAGCATTACAATCAACAATTCAGGCTGTAAAATCTGGGAGGCATACCCGGCATAGGTAACATGCACCAGAGTTGAATTGTACATTGTCTGTCAAATCCACATAATTATAATATATTAGGACCAGCAGCATCCTCGCCTATTCGGATATCACTTCTCTTAAGGGGCTTGATAGGGAGGGCAACTTCAGATTCAACAAGAACAATAACAATGTGGGCATAGTAATTTAGGACCTCAATGGTTCATTAGTAACAGTTGATATAAATAGAATTCCCCAAATTTTGTTTTAATTAACTACATGTAATATCTAGCAAGGCTAGCTACTATTTTGCTGGTTAATATATATCAAAGGGTTCAGATTAAGTAAGATGGAGCGAAGGGCATGTTTCGCATATATTCTGTGTTGTCATTTTGTTCAATGGGGTAGTTAAAATTATACATAAAGGAAATAAAAGAAGGAAGCCGTCTCCAGTGTACATGAGCATAATCATGAATTTCTCTAACAGCGCCTTTACCTTAATTGAGAAGGTTTGATGATAACACAATATAAACACATACATTTAAAGGGACTGGGTGGTTGTGGCCATTTTTAGGCTATTTGGATCTCCTTTAGAAGAAGAGCTCAATAAAGATATAACTGATCAAATTTTAAAGCTAACACTTGTGAAATTTATCTTTTCCAAATAATAGTTGACAGCTTAAGATATCATATCCCAAAATTTAAATTATATCTGGTGGTTAATAATTGTTGACCCCCTAGCCTCCTTAAAGTCTTCTCACCCATTAACAGCATAAAGGCCTTGTATCTTATAAAGTTGTGTTTAGTAAATGAAAAGTTTTGTACCATCTTAAGACAATAAGTTAACATGAAAAATCAGGTAAACTTGTTTTACTAATTTATTATATATAGATTATTTCACAAATGTTGATTATTTACACAGAGATTAATTTCAGCATGGGCTTTTATTTCCTGACAATGTTCTAAAAACATGAGTCTAGTCACTTGTTTAATATTTATACAAGAAGAGAACTTTGGGTATTGAAATACAATTCTACAAATAAAAGACTATAAAAAGAAGTTTAATAATAATAATTTATAGGCTAATTGAAGCACTGTGAAATAAATAAATTGTCAAGAGTATTAGGAAATTAACATAATTAACATTTATTCCTTAGAGTTATCTTTCTCATTGGGGAAAGTGAACTTTAAAATAGGAATTGCAACTCAAATTTCCTGAACTTTTACCAATTTTACTCATTCAATTTGGCATTGGGAATGAGGGACAATTCACAGAGTTCTTCAGGTGCTACAGTCAATGCATATGCAGGCTCATTTGAACACAGCTCACAGTGCTGGTACTTTCTATGTATTTTCCTAATATGGCATATGCTGTATGAATGGTCATGCAACGATAAGAAATAAATCAATAAATAAATAAAATAGAAAGGGCTATAATGAGACTTATAAGGTTCAAATTGGGTCTTTTTATCAGTGTTGGTTTCTGCTGTGTCTCTAAGTTGTTAAGATTTGCTATTTCACACAGATAAAAGTTGCTTTAGTTAAAATTCTATATTCACAGTTTTTAAACTCGCAAAGGGTAAATTGTTTAGGTAGCTAGTTTTCTTTATCACTAATAAGCACTAAAGGCGAGATTACCTAACTACCTAACAGCGCGGGGATGGGGGGGGGGGGGGGGGGGGTGTTAACACATATTGTTCCACAGGCTAGGTTACAATCCAAACCATTTCCTACAATATTTTCTTTTTAATAGTAATGTGCTTACTGTTGGAAATTAAGACACATATGCATATCTCAGGGGGCATTTTCCCATTGAAAATATCAGTTCAAACCCAGGTGCCATTTGCATGTAATATGATAGGTGTTTATCTCTCATCTGAGCAGTTACATGTAGCATAATTATTTTATGTTACTTTACACATTTATCTCATATTGGATTAAGATGCATTAGTCGGTGCATATATATATGTACATGCAGTTTACATCCATGCATTAGCTAGTGGGTACAAATACAGGTTAGCTAAGGGATACAAATACAAATCCACATGTGTGTAGGAGTTACAAGATTCATAGTATTAAGATTAGATAAAATTCTCCAGCATTTTAGGGTATTAGATATAGGTTAGGTTTCCACTGACTGAGCATATTAATTTTTATGCTCTCTATCATATATCCATTTTCTACAGCCTTAAAAATATTTTGAAGTCTATTATTTAAATAACCTATTCCATAACATATTTTTGCGGGGTGGGGGGGGGGAGCTTTAGGTGTGAAAAGATCATGCATTTTTGATAGAACATCAGCTGGGAAGGGGTTTAGACTTTAGAATAAAGGATTTAGTCATGTGTGCCTTCAGTGTCTGCTGCAGTCCAACTACATTTACAAATGAGCTGTAAATACAAATACAGTCCTCCATTGTGTGTCTTGGTTTGAAAGGTACTTATTATATACAAGATTTAATCAATTTTAAATGGTGCTTTGAAGAGTTCGCTTTCAAAATAAGTGGTACATGTATATAAAACATCATTCCCTCAAAATGGCAAAATACATAATTTACCAAATATCAAAAAACGTGTTCTGCAGTTTACAAATTGGGCACGTGAACACTTTTAAAATTATTGTCAACAATACAGGAATAGCATAATCATGCTGAAAGGGAAGGGGGGAGGTTAAAGAGTAAAGGTGCTCATTCATCTTGTTTCTAATCTCTGCATGAAAGTATTTTATCACCTAAAAAATAATTAAATAAGAAATAAAATTCAAATTTATAAACAAATAAATAAAAAGGGGGGACCTAAATAAAACGTATTTTCTACATAATTTTCTTACATTAGTCCAGGTAGTAGTTCTCTCTTGCCAGCTGGCTATTAATAATGGAATCTGAGACCCTAAGCAATATACTAGTAACTTGAAAGATATAAATTCAGGAGGGGGGGGGGGCGTTAGCCCCAATTAATTGAAGGGAGACCAGAATTATTTTAATGCAGGATAGTTCTACAGTGGGTTGGCAATGAGAGAGAGTGATGTTCACGATGGATGGGTTGCTGAGGGTTTTGAGTAGGCTAGGAGTCCATGGTGGGTGGTTAAATTGAAGTTGCCTACCCCCACCAGGTGGCGGTGGGCACCTACGGTGCCCATGTGGCGAAATAGTCACCTTCAATTTAACCATTGAACTGTTGATTTTGTTGACTTTTTGTGGTTGATGTTGATATATGTGATGGTTGATGTTGATATATGTGACGTTGACTTTGAAAATTATATCTTATACAATTTAAAGCTAAAGCCAAATAATATAATTATAAAAGATAATTTGTGTTGAAATGTGTCCGTAGCACGAATGAGGTCAACCCAGCGTGCTACTTTTCCCGTCAGGGAGGGCACAACTTATGTTGATGTTGGGGGTATGCCATTTTGCCGGCTGCCCCACTGTTGTGTAGACCACTGTGGACAATACCTGCCAACTCGAATAAAACATTAAACTTAAATACGTAGCATTTGTTTATTATATACATAGGTCTTTGATAATACCGCATATTTGAGTTCATCTCACAATATGCGCCGTTATCAAAGCTCTATCCTTTTATTATATGTCATCATTCACCTCCTTTTTGTGGAAAAAACTAATAAATGTGATAAGCCGGAATTTATTTATCCATCCATACAGTGTCGGTACTTAGTCACTAGGTTTACGGGTTATCTCCCCTTTTCTATGCATCAATGAAAGTGAAAGGTGGGTGATGAAAGTATCTGATTTATGTTTTTGTTTTATGAAATACCCTCCCACCTCAACCCTTGAGCTAGGTGTTAAGTATATACCCTTTCTTCTTTTGTTTGTTTAAATAACGTTTTTCATTGTTTTACATCATTTGGTTATACCAAATTTATTAGAGTTGTGCAAATGTTATTGAGAATCTTTTTCTGCTGTGGGTTTTTGTTTTTGTCTTTTCAGATATAAGAGATTTCGTTGAAGGAGACTAACGATGCTGATCTGAATTGCCTGCTATTTCCGTATTCTGGGACTTTTGGAATTTCCGTATTCTGGGACCTTTGGAATGATCACTGGCCGAATACCATGCATGACAAGGGTCAATTTGGCGAATTATCCATTCGAGGAGTTCGGGGAAAGACAGTAAACTATACTTCACAGTGGTCGTGTTTGCGAAATCGTCACCTTCAATTTAACCATTGAACTGTTGATTTTGTTGACTTTTTGTGGTTGATGTTGATATATGTGATGGTTGATGTTGATATATGTGACGTTGACTTTGAAAATTATATCTTATACAATTTAAAGCTAAAGCCAAATAATATAATTATAAAAGATAATTTGTGTTGAAATGTGTCCGTAGCACGAATGAGGTCAACCCAGCGTGCTACTTTTCCCGTCAGGGAGGGCACAACTTATGTTGATGTTGGGGGTATGCCATTTTGCCGGCTGCCCCACTGTTGTGTAGACCACTGTGGACAATACCTGCCAACTCGAATAAAACATTAAACTTAAATACGTAGCATTTGTTTATTATATACATAGGTCTTTGATAATTAAAGAGCAAAGAGAAAGACCATGACATTTAAAGCTAAAAAGGTTTGTTTCGGAGTTAATCGTATCAAAAAGAGGGTGTAAAGTTGTGTTGAAAAAGGAAGTGTATTTATATAATGTGTAGATTTTTTAAGAGTTAGATACGGAAAGAAACAACATCATCATCTACAATTTTCCAGATTTTCTGGATTATATATGAAAAATCTTTCTCATCAGTGTTGATCAAAGATGGGATTAAGCAAGTGTCATCCTGTTATATTTTTTACTTGGATTAATGTTCTATACCGTGGTTTATGCTATAGTATGTATTATTTATGTTTTCAGTTATCCGACCCATAAAAGCCTATGATGCAATGTATCTGATTACATAACAGATATATGTTAATGTCGACATAATTTTTGAGGATCAATTAGTATTTTTGTGTGAAAATCGGAATGTGTTTTAATTTTTGACCTCAACCTGTCATCAATAGAGTTATCCATAGCAATTCTAAAAAATTCCTTTCTTCTATATAAAAAAAAATAGAACGATAGTTCAGCTAATAATAGGCTGCACTCTCTATTACAATTATGCGTGTATCTACTATTTGAATATTTGACATAGGAAACAACCTATCCTCCTATCAAATACCTGCTATTTTTTTTTATTGAATAAAATATATATCGCAAGCGTTAATTTAATTAATTGAATGTTAAAGAAAACCTGTCAGAGGGGTAATCTTTTTTTTTTCGTGTAATTAAATGTGAAAATCTATTTGATGCAGAAGGTGGGTAGATATTAAAAAATGAAACGGTCACTTGTTCCAATTTAATTATTAACATTGGTATTGTTCATTCTGTTATCATTTGTCAACATTCTCATCATAAAAATTATATAGAATTAAAGAAAAGGGAAGTGTTTCTGTAACAAAATTAACTCTTCTTTTCAGTACTTTAATAAGAATTATTGTGCCAGTAAGCACTCAAATTAGAAACGTATATAATTAATGAACTTCTTACAAAGATCAGCTTGTAATACCCGGACACACCTGGGCAATCAGTAGTTCTGTTGATTATGGTGGATACCCCAACAAGACAGTGGACGGAGACGTCAGTCAAAATTCCTATACATACTGCATGCATACAGCTGGTTATGAAAGTGAGGCTTGGCTAATGATTGACCTAGGAAAAATTGACATCATCAAATCAGTTAAGTTTTGGTATAGAAATGACTCTAACGGTAAGTTATTTAGCTTCTCTTTAAATGTTCACGTATCTTAATTTGATTTGGAAAGTAAAATAATAACATATGTACAAATTATATTGAATCATCTTTTTTTTTGGCAATTTAGTAAAATGTAAGCAACCTATAAACCTTAGCCAGATACATTACCATTATTCAGTCCTGTACAATAGAAATTCAGAGGGTTAATCTGACACAATCTTTACAGTGTAAGGAGAGAGCGTGTTGATGTTGCAATGTGTTACCGTAATTGACTAATACAGTCAAGATGTAATTTTAGTCTGTTTAATTTTTTTTTAATTCAAGGGAATATGTTCCTGGTACAAATTCTTATTCTAGTCTTGTAAATTCAACGTTGGTGCTTGTGAAGTCCATCAATTATGCTCTAATAGGCTTGTTGAAAAAATAATAACATTAATTATAATTATAATTTTCAACATTTGCATGTTTGATAACCTTGGGTAGTTATAATTTTATTTGAAATTCTAATTTTAGTAAAGAAATACGCAAGCTAACTCTCGATTCCCGCCTACATTTTTCATACACTTATATCAATATCAATGACAATTTCGCAATAAAATTTTTGTTTGATACAAAAAACAATTTAATGGTAATTTATAACTTATCTTAATACCAGCATGAAATAGTAAATTATTCGAAAATCAAACTCTAGGAAAAAGGGAAGTACACAATATTTTTCATTGAAATCGGGCTTTCAAGCATCACCATATTTTGAAATAGTCTTGGATATGACTAAATGTTCCTTATGTATTTTCTCATGTTTTAGGCAAAAAATAAAATATGAATAATTATATTTATAAAAGATAATGTTTCAATTGTTAATCGCTTAGAAATTGGTGAAAAAATAAGCATTTTTGTCGTTTTTGTCTACAAACATATGTTTCCCCCATGGCACACAAAAAGCTTTGGTATGAATTTGTGAAATTAGCAGTCCATACAACCTGTAACAAGGATTTTTTGTGTCATGGGGAGGAATATATTTTAGAAATATTTTACGTTTTCCGTTGATTTCAATAGTGAAAAACACATGTTTTACCAAAATTTTTAGAGTTTTCTTTCTTTGTTTTGCCAAATAAGTAATGTTTTATGAAAATTCTTATTATTTTCTTTAAGAAATGTTAAAAAATCATCAAATATGTTAACTTATGAAAATTGACAATACTATCGTTAGCAGTTCTATGACCTCCGTTCATCATATACAAGGGCCGTTGAAAAATTACGCGGAGTTGTTGCACAGAAAAAATATTAGACGACATAATCAGGCAAAACGCCACACATAATTTAAAAGGTTATTTATATGGTCTTCGAAATTTAATATCAAAATCTTGTAAATTGGTATCAATCTTGAGAGATTTTTCAGGACATATCATTACGTTAGGGAGCATCAAAATCTTCGACGTCACAGGCATTATAAAAATTAGTGATTGAGCTTTCAGTTTCTCAACATTTTCCCAAGAGTACCTCTATAGTTTGAGTACCTTATCTACTCAACATCCAAACACCATTTCTTGTCAAGCATAAAACCTATTAAACAAGCAAAGAATATTTTTTTTTGTTTTAAAACCCAAAACTACAAGTATTAATGAGATATAGAGTGATATTGGTGACTCTCAATCACGTTCTTTACAGTCCGGATAACGTTTTGTCGATAATCTTCTTCCCGTACTCCCGTATAGCCGTTTTATAGAGGTCTAATGGTCTAAAATTTCAATTTGCTAGTTGTGGACGAATTTCACGAATACCTTAGTTTACTACATGTTTTGGATCTATGTTGGCGATATTTCGACCATTACACATAATTTAACAAGAGTGGAGTGCGCCGTCAATTCAGTAGACGTCATTTTCACAGTCGTTTTCACGGAGATCGCATCAGAGAAAAATCACCATATTTCTATTAGTACTTCAAATATCACGTCAGAAATCTAAATACATAATGATAGAACTGTTTAAAGATATATTTGAGAAAATTGTCGAAAAATATCACGAATTATAGAAAATTAATGAGTTAAATTTTTGATTTCGCATGCTTTTGCTTCAAATTTTTTGTCGTGCTCCGTATATCTTCATCAGCGATATAAACATATCGATAATTTTTGTAGATTTTTTTTTAATACAGAAATTTTGCCCAAAATTTATTGGAATCTTTAAGAAATTTCATAAGTATATGACGTCTGTAAGAGTAAATAATAGCACAGTCCTCGTAATTTTTGAGCGGCCCTCGTATTTCTAACATTTACTCAAGTAAACATTTTTTAAACAATCAGTCAATAAAAGACATGCTCTGTATTTTGCAATTGCATGAGTGAATAAAGTATCTGATCAATATGATAAATTGGATATCAGCTCTATACCTTCTATTAGTACCAGGGTATAATACGAGACGAATACAAGGGTTTAATATCCGTCTATCAAATACAACTCAGACTGACCGGCAGGACATTTGTTATCAAGATGATGGAAAGACAATCCTGCCTCCAATTATAGAACAACAATGTAAAGGAGTAGCCCAGTTTGTTTGGATTTACACAAATAAAACGTTTATTGATGGCGCAGTCCTTGAAATATGTGAAGTGCAGGTTTATGGTAAGCTATTTGTTACATTGTAAAAACTGTCTGAGCTGATATTGCTTGATATCGCATTACCCAATACTTATTTCATTTAGATTTTAAGAACTCAATCATCACCTTTCGTTGCATGTTGACTGAAATACATGTAGGTTGAACAGTATGTTTGTGAACAATATGTTGGTGAATTCATTTATGTTCATTTTTTTTATTTTTATGCCCCCGTAAACGAAGTTTCGGGTTGATGTCGTGATGTAGGTTTTGTCGTGTCTGTCCGTCCGACTGTATGTCTAGCTGTCTCTCTGTCTGTACATGTTTCATTGTCTATTTGTCGGCAAAAACTTTAACCTTGCCCATAACTTTTGATTTAGTGGAGCTGTGACTTTCATATTTTACATATGTATTATTAGTTACATAGTCTTTTAGTGACAGGGTATGGGATGATACCTGGTTAGTAAATTTCATACCTGGCGAGGCGGAGCCGAGTCAGGTATGAAATTTACTAACCAGGTATCATCCCATACCCTGTCACTAAATGACTATGTAACGAATTTACCCCACCGATGAAACATTTACGTTTTATCTGTTATTTATAAATGGTTTTCTCGGCTAAATGCTTTATCGCGCTTATACTGTGCCTATTATGACGTCACGTTTGCGTTTGTGACGTTATACATCGACCGGGTATAGATTTCACTGACCGGGTATGGATATACAACTGACCGGGTATAAGTAATCCACCGCCTTCACGTGACAGACTTCAACCAATCGTAAGCCAGGATTTCAAAGACAAATCAACAGAGATGAGGTAATCCTTGATACACGTGCTTTCCTTGGGTACCACTAAATTTGACCTTGATTTTGGGGTTTGACCCACTTTTACACAGAAATTCAAAACTTTTACTTTAGCCATATCGTTTGAACAGTAGAAACCAGACCATGTATACTTCACAGCTGTATTTTTGTTGAGAAACCTTTCATTGGATGCCAACAATTTTGATCTGTTGACCTTGACCTTGGAGATTTCCGTACTTGTGAAAAAACTTTAACCTTGAACATAACTTTTGAACGGTAAAAGATAGGGCTTTCATACTTCAAATATTTCCTGTTTTTACCTGATCTTGACAAGGAGCACACGGCGGGTGTGACCGGTCAACAGGGGATGCTCACTCCTCCATGGCACCTAATACCACCTCTGATATTATAGAGATCCGTGTTTGCTCTGCTCCTAATTTGTATTGATTAATGGACTTTGAGATTGAATATTGTTCGTTATCTCCATATCTTTATATGTTATCTTTGTGAAAATACCTTTCAATGGACCCACAATAACTTTGACCATTTGACCTTGGAGTTTGAACTACTTTCAAAAACCAAACCTTAACCGTAATTTTAAAAGGGTAAGGGCTAGTGCTTTCATTCTTTACATATTTCATGCTTGTGACAAGACCTTTCGTTTGAATGCCAGACCTTTGAGCCTTTGACCTTGGAGTTTGACCTACTTTTCAAATTTTTCACCTCTGCTTAAGTTCTGAACGGTTAAGACCAGGGTTTCAATGCTTTAGATATGTATTCTATGTGGCATGACCTTTCATTCGATACCAATTACCTTGACTTTTTAACTTTGACCTTGGAAATTTTTGCACTTATGAAAAAAAAAATTAATCTTGGCCATAGCTTTTTAAATTAAGGGCTAGTGATATCATACTTCACTTATGTAATTCTTGTAAAGAGACCCTTCATTTGATACCAAGAACTTTGATCCTTTGACCTTGGAGTTTTACTTATTTTTAAAATGTAAACCTTGACCATTATTTTTGAAGGGTAAGACCTCGTACTTTTTTACTTTACATATTTAATCTTTGTAAAAGTACTTTCATTTGATAGCAAGATCTTTGATCTTGACCTCGGGGTTGACCTACGTTTTAAAATCTTTAACTTTGACCATAACTTCTAAATTGTAAGGGCTAGGGCTTCCATATTTTACATATGTAATTTTTGTGGCAAGACCTTTCATTGGATAACAATGACCTTGAAGATATCTGAACCTTGGCCTACTTTCATAATTCATAATTGTATTCTCAGTGATTATACCCTACTTTTGGTACCAATATATTAAATTTCCATTTAAGAAAGGTTTAATCTTTGCTATGTTGCCTTACAAGGGCATTAGTGTTTCACCAACACACCTTGTTTATCTTAAATATGATAGTTAGATTTTTCCCGGCATTGTTGTTTAATTCAAATGTCCTTAAGCGCCAATTTAATGTTATGATGTTGAACATTTGCAATTTATGTTGTTATTAATGTTATGATGTTAAACATTTGCAATTTATGTTGTTATTCCTTTCGCTTGTCAAATATGCACACATTCACACAACTGGAAAAAAAACTATAGTAAATGCTCCCTCTACACCTTCGTAGACTGAGAAGGATTTTTTTTAAATGTGCGTATATTTGATTGACACAAGTAATTGATAAGTATAAATTAAAGATATTCTATTCGAATGTACCAGAGCAATACGACCATTTAACTGAGTTTTTTGGGGGGAAATTTTGTGTGATTTTCCTTAGACTAATTTGTATGAGTAGCAATTGACAGTGGGAAATGCCCCCCCCCCCCCCCCCCTTGTATTTGGGTAATTTGAATCACGCGTGATTTTTTTAAAGAAGTAAAAGTTAGGCTTATCCCTAGCACTTTATTCATCACTAAGATGCTCTATTATAATATCTGACAAGTTGACTGATAATTCATACTTAGATTGCATATTGAAAATGATATCTAGCCCAATATGAAATAATTATTTTACGTGCATTCAAGCCTTCAAAGCAGTTTACCGATTCACACACCAGTTTGATATTTATAATTTGTTTATTGCAATGTATTTTAAAAAGAAATCATAATTCCACCAACTATTTACCACATAATAATGTGATGTAAAGCTCTTTCTTTTGAAATTTAATTTAAGCACTGTTTTTATCTACAGTCCCTGAAACGTTCTACTTTCCAATTTTTCCGTTCGCTCACCGTTCGTTCAGCGTTCGTTTACCGTTCAGGTGGGAAAGTAGAACGTTTCAGGGACTGTAGTGTTTGGGGAAAGGCCAATCAGAAAAAATGTCATGGGGAAGTGATGCACAAACATAAAAATCAATTGGCGCACCAGCAAGGATTTTTTATCAATCAAATAAGTTGATATAAATACTTTATTGTTTACATGACGTGTTGGACACAGACATAAAGTACCTGAGTGTGGTTTAGAGCATATAATTATATATGGGTAGAATGGGGTTGGTGGGTGGGTTTCCCTCCTTTATATGTTTCCTACGGCCATAAAAAAGAAAAATTACAAGTTATACAGTATAAGTCTATGTAGAATAAATTGATATCCAAGTTTTATTTCATGTACATACAAATGCAACTGGATTGAACTTTTTATGCCACCCCTCGAGGACGGGAGGGTATATTGCTTTGGCGCTGTATGTCGATCTGCCTCTTGGTTGGTCCGTCGGTCTGTTGGTCCACTTAGTTTCCGTTCCTTTTCTTTACAACCGTTGCACATACATGAAATTTGATATACAGATATATCAGATAGATATGTAGATCATGTTATGTTTAGTGTACGATCGTGCCTTTTTTGACAGAGTTATACCCCTTGGACTTGGAAATATTACAATTGGGGAGGGGGCAAAGTGTTGTTCAAACATCTCTTGTTTGTTATTATTATTAGCAGAATAATTTATTCCTGGACTCAGAATTATGTTGATCACATTGATTTCAAATTTTCTAATTTCCTCAGATAATCATAAATTTTTCTAACGTCAGACAAGCTTTTTAAGAAAGCTAGTACTAATAAATAAAATTACAAGGGACGAACAGCAGATAAATTGAAAGTTTGACCTCATTAGAACTATTTTTAGGTGGTCAAAGGTCATTTAAGTGCAAAAGTTTCATCATTTTTTTTTTTCAACGCTTTCAATTTTTTTGCCATAATTTTACACAATGGATGCTGAAATGGAAAATTCTGAATATACTCTCAAGAAGGGATCAGAATTGCAATATCCATGCATCATTTTAATTCAAATATCTGTTTAATGACCTTTTAAATGGTTGCTAAGCAACAACATTTTAAAGTTTTTGTCTATATACATATTTTTTATTTCACATTCTGGACACATTCTCGACACTTTTTGTATATTTCATGATATTGTATGTAAGATATGGGCCATAAAGATGAAAGAACATTTTTGTATTAAAAAATGACCTTGACACTCTTGGTCTGAAGGGGGTCAAGGTCATATCAGTACCGAATTTTGCTTTAAATTCTAATTGAATATCAATTTTGAAATGCTTCAATCATGGATAAATCATCTAATAGTTGACGTGAAAAAATGGCGAACGACAAAATTTGCAAGCAAAGAATTCTGGTCTACTTCTTACAAACCCCTTGCAAAACATGTATACAATCTTTTTGTTAAACAAAAAATTCCATTCTCTTGATGCCATTAAAAATAACTTTTATTTCCATGGATTAAATCTTACAAGAAAAAATAAACTAAATGATTTCATTACAAGATTTTTCTGGTATAACAGAGCTTAAGGTTTACAATAAAGACTTGACATGTTATCTTAAAGGGAGATAATAATAAAAGATAGCATTGGCAATATTTAACGCAAAACTATTTAGTCATTAAGTTGAAAATGTGACGTTTATGTCCAAATATACAAATCCAGAAATATTGTAAGATGAATTCCAAATCAGACTGGAATCTTCAACAAAATGTTGAAGGGCACTTTTACTTTGTGTCCACCATTCTTTTATCGACTGTCATTTTTCTGTAAGACTGGAGGAAATTCTTTAACTTGTCCAAGACATTATTATTTGCTGTCAAGTACAAAGGATCAGCTTCTATCCTGTAAAAGATTTAAATATTTTGAAACAGATACATGTCATTGTGTATATGAATTTACATTTATAAATTAAATTAAGAATGCTAAAATACCTACATTTATTTGATTTTCCTTTTAAAATTGACATTGTATTTATTATGTGATTCAAGTACTGTAGAAGTACTTTTTTCCGCGTGGTATTAATTTACGCTATGTACGCGGTCACAATTTTTCCGCGGAAATTTGTCCAAGCGTACTTAATGTAAATGTAAGGCATTTAGTGACAATCTAGAAAATCGGCGAAATTTTCTACCCGCGGATTAAACAGAAATTGAGATTCCGCGAAATTATGACCCCGTGGAAAATAGTACGTCTACAGTATTTTAACGATATTGTTAAGTCAATTTATCAGGACTGATAATTCAACAACCTTGTAGTAAACCATCATGATAAAATTAATGAACTAAAACAAATAGCATATATGGCAATCTGACTAAAGCCATCTACGCTATCGCAACATATAAAAAAAATCTGGCAATGGATGGAAAATCTAATTTTAATTAGATTGCTACGAAAGCCATAAGGGGACACATCAATTTCTCAAAAAAGTAAAAAAAAAAATGAGATCTCGAATTAGACAATCCAATTCCGTGGATTACTAAATTGTTCCCTCGATTTATAATTCGAGATCTCGAATTACACAATCCGATATTACAGATTACTAATTCGCCCCCTTGATTCATAATTTGAGATCTCGAATTACATACTGGTAATTCATTTTCACAGATTAATAATTCGAGATCTTGATTTGTTACAATGTCAGTCTTTGGCAATCTGTGCTCTTGAATTTCATTACATATATGTACAGATACATCCAAGCATTTTAATCAATTAGTGCGTTCTATTTATTTTGTTTCAGCAACTGGTCATTTCCAACCTCTTTCATAACTAATTCAATGTACCATTAATTTATTTTAGAAATATTCTGATTACACAGGACCCATATTCACTTTTACTATTTAGGACTTTCAATTATTCTAATATACACGCAACACAAAAACTTTAAAAAAATTTGTTGTACAAATATATGGATCTGAAAATGTGCATGTATTTTTCTCATTTTGGACGGTAATATGTAATAAATGGTAGGATGTAAAATACTACAATATTCTATTCTTTCAACATGTATACCATATCCGATATGTACAGATAAATAATTTTAGTGAAATCATTGGATGGGTTTACATTCCGAGGGAACGAATCATTTAAACTAAGAGAATGAATTATACAATCTGAGATAACGGATTGTGTAATTTGAGGGAATGAATTGATAATCTGTGAGAGTAAATTGGCAATTTGTTATAACAGATTGTCAATCCCAGAGAACGGATTGTATAAATCGAGAACTTGGTTTACTATATAATTTTTAAAAAAATCTATGTCCCTTCATGGCTTTCATAAATTGCATACCTGCATGGCTGCCAGGGTTGTAAAAAGAAAGGAGACAATAGACTGCAATGTTACTTCAGGGCAAAATTCCTGGGGCAAGGCTGTTCGTGAGCTTGGGAGTGTTGATAAACCATCCAGTGATTTTGACAACCCATGTATATGATGTACGATAATTGGAAAGTGTCTGAAAAACTGAGAAAATGGAAATTCTAACCACATACTTTATGCAAATTGGAAATACAACAGCAGTCTATAAAAACAGCTTGTTCCATATCTCGGCTTCATTCAAATAGATATTACTTGTTTAAATAATGTATTTGTATGAATAATCAAGCATCATAAGTATTATTTGTTTCAAACACTTATTTTTCAAAATATAGATCAAATGTTTATAAACTTGTATGAATGCAATATTATGAGAATGACACAAATGAAATTTGACTTTATTTTTTGAAATTTTAGAAATACAGCAATTTTCAATACCAAAACAAAAATTTACCTGTTCAATGGTGTCTTTACATATTAACTGGCCTTGGTAGTTCATGCTGGGCATAGCAAGTGGGTATTCACAGATGAAAGTATTGTTGCATATGGTGCCAGCACCCTAAAAATTCAAAGTGAATGTGGCACATATACACACTGGTACACACATACTGAAAACAACTATCCATTATTACAACTTTGATATTACTTTGAACTTACGAGTGATTGTCAAAAGCATCAAAGTTCAAAAGCAACACAAAATTGGCAGAACAATACGAAATACGCACACTAAAATATGAAGATCTAGTACATGTGTACATTTAGTTTTCTTTTGAACGTGAACTAATTGCGTTTTAAACTTATTTCAGTCAATATACACGTATTCTCACCTGCTTATACCAATTAGGCATGTCTGTATTATTTGATTCATTGATGTGATGATCTTCGTCGTGAAATAATCATGAAAATTGACGTTCAGATTTTGGATCACCATCATGTTGTTTGTGTACTGCTACCATAGCGGAAACACGTGGTTATTTCAATTCGTATCAACTCATACAGTGATGAGTCGTATTTATTTATAAATGCGAGTTTTTGTATTGTTAAATTTCGTGCCAATATAGATATAATTAAATTGCAAATTAAGTTTACAGCATAACAAGATACAACGATATTAAAATCTGTTTTTTTTTTAAATCTAATTTTTGTATTATGCATTGATCTCAGTAATATATATATTTATTTAAATGGTCAAAAAAGTCTTATAAAAGAATTTGTTGTTTCGAGTAAGACGCAACAATGTCGA